ATGGGTGCCGTCAGAATGAGAGTCCAAACAGCTGATAAAAACATCACAATAATCCACAAGTAATCCACAGCACTCCAGTCCATCAGTTAACGTCTTGTGAAGTGAAAAGCTGCGTGTTTGTAAGAAACAAATTCATCATTTAGATGTTTTTAACTTCAAACTGTTGCTTCTGGCTAAAATATGAATCCATAAGAAAGCTTCCTCTGATAAAAAGTCCATCCCCTGTTGTTTTCTCACATTAAAATCCACTGACATATTTGTTCAGAGCTGTTTCAGACTGTTTTGGCTTGTAAACTGTGCTTGGTCTGTGCAAATGTCTTTCCTGATTCACACGTAACAACTTTTCACTGGAGAAAGTGATATTATGCATAGAATCCATACTTTAGCTGACAGCAATGAAAAAAACATTAAAAAACATGTAATGTTTCTTACAAACACGCAGCTTTTCACTTCTCAAGACATTAACTGATGGACTGGAGTGGTGTGGATTACTTGTGGATTATTGTGATGTTTTTATCAGCTGTTTGGACTCTCATTCTGATGGCACCCATTCACTGCAGAGGATCCACTGCTGAGCAAGTGATGCAATGATACATTTATTTGACATAACTGGTCAGTCTAAACATTTTATCTGTTTGTTTGTTTAGTCTTATCATGTTCCCCTGTAACCTGTTCATATATCTTCCTTTAAAAAAGTCTGCAATCTCTCAAAGAAAGACAGTCTCTTTCACTTTATCTCAGGTTCTTCCAGTCAGCTCCATATTTCTCTGTCAATGCAGCAAGCTTCTCTTATTTGTAGGCCTTATCGTCCCTAGTCATTTGTTGTCACTTGCATTTATTTTCTCAGCATGAACGCAATATAAGTTGATGAATTCAAGGATGAGTTCTGAGCGCAGTAAATTCAGTACATGTGGCTTTATATGAGGTTTGGTGTGTTTTTAGCTTTGTGGGCATGTTAGAAACAAAAAGAGTCAATGGAGCTGTTCCTAATGAAAGATGCATATTTCTGGTTTACAATTGGAGACAGAGCAAACCTTAAGATATTTTTTGCTCATTGTTTGTATTTTCAAACTTTGTGTTGCTAAAATACAACTGTTCTTTTACATGGTCTTGAAAAGGTCTTAAAGTCTTAAATTTACCCTTGTAACAAATATCTGCATCTCATATTTTAAATCTTATATATACAGTGGGTACGGAAAGTATTCAGACCCCCTTAAATTTTTCACTCTGGCTTATTAGGGTCACTTCCCCTTCATTTGAACTCATTGGAGGGCAACAACATTTGAAAAAAAAAAATTGGTTGGCTTTCTTCAGGTTGTAGACATGCAAGTATTTCTGTTTTTTTTAAACTGAGTTGTTACACTTAAAACGTGCATTCACATCAGCAAACAGAGTGCAATAAAATGTGACTAATATATTCATATTGAAATAAAATGAGCAGTTTGAACATCAAATTTAGCTACATTTGTTTGAAATCTTACATATAATCCAAATTACAGTATATAAAAGGGGGCTCTCATCAGTTTCTCATCAATTAATTGAAGAAATGATTGCCAAATTAATCATTGCATTACATCATGAATGAATGAGATTTCATATTAGTCTTGCAGACTGTTTTAAGAGCATTTCTGAGGAGTCGTGTACAGTTTAGTCAATACAGTATCATAATTATGCTTTCACAAATATCATGTCAATAAATACTATAATAATAATAATAATGTTGTAATACATGCTACCATAATTATGCTTTTCGTAATACATTATTTCAGTAAATGCTAATAAATACTATTTTAATGATCATGCTCGATTAAATGCTACCTTGATTATGCTTCCATACATATTTTTGAAATAAATACTTCAATATTGTAATATTAAATACTATTTTAATTATGCTTTCATTAATATTATTTTAATAAATGCTAATACATATTACTGTAACACTTTTGCTGTTAAATCCTTCTTTGATTATGCTTTTGCAAATATTTTTTTAAATAAATGCTAATAAATCCTCCAATAATAATATTGTGATATTAAATATTATTATAATGTTGCTTTCATAAATATTGTTGCAATGCTAACAAATACTACTGCAATAATATTGCGCTGTTAAATACAACATTATGCTTGTACAAATATTTGAGAAAAAAATGCTAATAAATACTCTCATAATAATATAGTTATATTAAACATGAACAATTATAGATTCATGAATTTTGCAGCAATACATGTGAATGAATACTAGTGTAATAATACTGTAATAGTGTAGCAATAAATGTGACCATCATAATTCTGACACAAAAAATGCCTTACTTATGCTTTCACAAGTATTACCACTATTAATTATTACTGCACTAATATTAATTAAATATTCATGTGTTTAGCTTTAATTTTAACAGTGTTTGAAATCCTACATATAATCCACATAACAATATATGTAAGAAAAAAAATAAGGGCTTCTCATCAATTAAGTGAAGAAATGATTGTCAGATTAAACATTGCGTTAAATAATGACTTGTAATCGTCTTGTAGACTCTTCTTTAGAGCCTTTCTGAGTCACCGTGCACTTAATAGCACAGGTGTAAATGTGGCTTTTGAATTGACACACACACACACACACACACACACACACACACACTACAGAAACGCACCTGTAGGGGGTGCTAGAGTCATAATAATTTCACTGCCTTATTGTTTGGTATTCATATATTATTAAAAAGTTTTAAACTCACAGGTATTTTAGGCATGAACATATATTTTAGTGTTTGCCTTAGGTTAGAAATTAAGATTTTAAGGTTGTTGACAGTGATTCTCTGAAGTCATTTGAGGTAAAGTTACCCTCTGCAGCGACCGACACACGTGAACCAAACAACATCTAGACTTCTATAGCGACTCCACCCGCTTTTTGTCGTGCTGTTTAGATGGTAGCTTTATGTATTGATTTCTTTTTGTTGTCAGGCGTTCCTGCAGGAGCTCAGTCGAGGACAGGAGAGCGTGACGTCCTTTAATGAACTGTCCAATCAGCTTCTGCAAGAATATGCCGCTGACGACACGCGCAAGGTCAAAGAGGTCATGGACAAACTCAACACGGTGTGGAACAGCGTCAATAACAGGTATGCGCTTGCACACGGATGCGCTCATGTATCCACACACAGACCGATGTGTGTTCATTTCCCTAATATACAGTAAATGAGAGGAAATGAATCATGCGCACACACACACTCTGAAACAGCATGTCATAAACACACGTAATCACACAAATGTTCAGCATGTACAGATATCACACACACACCACAGACACTTCTGGACATACGGATCATCATTACGTGTAACAGCATAAAGGTTATTACTGCTGCATTTAATATTGTGGTAATTAAATGCTAATAAATACTATTGCTATTATGCTGTCACAAATACTGCAGTAATATATGCTGCCATAAATATTACTGTTATTGTGTTTTTCTGAGTATTGCCGAACAATTGTCGTCATAATGTTGTGGTAATAAATGCTACTACTGTAATTGTCCTTTAACAAATATTGCAGATATAAATACTACCATCATAATATTGAATTAATATATGTTACTGTACTTACGCTGTCATGAAAAACTACCATGATGATAATTTAGTAATACATGGTGTCATCATTATGCTTTTATGAATATAATGTCAATGAATAATAGGGATGCATCGAAATGAAAATTGTTGGCCGAAGCCGAAACCGAACAAAATGAAACACTGGGCCGAATACCGAACACCGAACACGTTTTTTTGAGTTTTTTCCCCCCATGTATTTTGCCAATTTTTTTTTCACCATTGCATAAATTAAAAAGCCAACTTTATTTTGGCGGAAACGCGCAGGAAGACCTCAATGCTTCTTTATGTTGTCAACAGATTTATAAATGAGTCTCATTACGAATACGTTGTACGTATCGCATTGTCACGTGCCTTGTAAAAATTCATAAAAATGTGACTGAGCAACTGACAAGTAACACTGTATCAGCACAGATTTTCCTCGCGCTTTGGACTTTGAACCCTGGTTAACAAGCAGATCCGCCGCGAG